TGGCTGGAGTTTTAGAGTGAAAGAAATCTGTAAACTCGATCCATTCTTCACAGCTAAGATGACAAAGCAGCTTCTAAATTTGTGAGCAACTTCAAGATGTGAAGTTCCTTTGCCTTTTTTAAGTAAACTTAATGCTGCATCATTAGTTTGTGTGAGCAGTCCTGTAAATGGACTGAAAATCAAACCAGCACTGAAGATCAAGGCTGAAGTGAAAACATAGATCCCATCTTGTACAAAATGTGGGTGCGTGACTTGAGAAGTGCCACAGAACAGCTGTGTGGTGATGCATCACACTTAAGGATTGTGTTGAGTACTCAGCAGGCACTTTGAAAGAAAATAAGTCATCGGCTGATCAGAAAAACTTGCTGTTGAGCATTGCCAAGAATTAGATCCTGAACTTTGCTTTCAGACAGCGCTGGTGGGAGCTTAAGTCCTAAAGCTGACACTTTTTTCCCCTATGTGAAATAGAAATCAATGATTCTTTACCATCATTCTTACCTACTATAATTTATGATTAAAACTGTATTTGATTTTTTTTTTCTTATCTATTTTTGTGCTTCATTTTCTCCGCTGCTGTCAGGGTCTGGTGATATTTCTGTTGCATTTACTGTGTGACAGCTACAGGATTATCTAATCAGTGCTCTGTGTTCTGGCAGCTGCATCGTGGGCATAAATGTCAGCTGAAATTCTGAATGTAAGTATTCTGGGAAGATTTGTTTTCCAGATGAGAAACAGCTCTTCTGTCCTGGTAACCAGGTACAGTGAAAAATTTTATAGGCTGTCTTTATGCCCTGAGGATTACAAAAAGTACCAGTGACAGCTGTTTGTACAAAAATACGGTTTGTGATCTGAAGAAGGCATGATAGTGGCATACTGTCAAAAAGCATAGTCTCATCTTCCTGTGATGTAGAGCCAATTTCATAAAATCACAGAATCACAAGATTGGAAAGGACTTACAAGATCATCTAGTCCAACTGTCATCCCATTACCACTGATACTAAACCAGATCTCACAGCTCCTCCTCCAGGCGCCTCTTGAACACTGCCAGGGACGGCAACTCCACCACCTCCCTTGGCAGGCCATTCCAGTGCCTGACCACTCTCTGAGAGAAAAAGTTTTTCTTCGTGTCCAACCTAAACCTCCTCTGGCACAACTTGTGGCCATTTCCTATTGTCCTGCTCGTTGCCTGGGAGAAGAGGCCAAACCCCTCCTCACCACAACCTCCCTTCAGCAGTTGTAGAGTGCAGTGAGGTCACCCCTGAGCCTCCTCCAGACTGAACAATCCCAGCTCCATCAGCCGCACCTCATAAGACTTGTGCTCCAGACCCCTCACCGGTTTTGTTGCCCTTCTCTGAACACATTCCAGTGCCTTAATGTCTTTCTTGTAGTGAGGGGACCAAAACTGAACACAGCACTCGAGGTGCGGCCTCACCAGTACTGAATACAGGGGGGTGATTACCTCTCTGCTCTTGCTGGCCACACTATTTCTAATGCAGGTGAATTTGTGCTTCTTTTGAGCATAGCCTGATATGCTCCTTCTCTGTGCATCTCTAGACTCATGAATTGGCCATGATGTATTAACTGTTTTCATAAGCCTATTGCCCTTTCATGGTGGCCAAAGACATGCTGGAACATGGACTTATTCTTTGAGGCAGCTAGATACAATTTTCTGACTGTTATCTGGCAGCATTAGGGGTATGATACTGTCTTTGGAAATGTGTGTTCAAATCCTGCTTTGAAAGTAAACAGGCTTTTGAACGAACAGTTACGGAAATTAATTATGTCACCTCTTCCTTGTCCTGTAATCAAGCAATATCTTGAAAAGTCAGCTCATTTTCATAAATGAGAATATTGTGCATATATGGTACAGTCACCTCTCCACCATCCACAATAACAGAGGGCTGGGCTCAAGTACTAGTGGGCAGAGCAGTGTAGATATGTTAACTCTGTTGCGAGAGCCCAGTCTCAGTACAACTTGCTGCCTCTGGCTTAGCTTTGCAGGATGTCTACCCAACTACTTTATCTTTGTGATGGCCTCCCAGCACTCATTGGAAACCACTAGTGGGGTTGATCGCAATAGTGGACCTGTTGCATCTGTCTGTTTTCAGAACTCTGTCTGAAAATAAGCCCTTCAGGACATTTTTGAGGAGGGTGGTGGCCAAGCGCTTCTGCAACTGAATTTTCGTCGAGCAAGGAATTCTGACTCCAAGTAGTAAGCAATTGGCTAGTATAGACAGAATTCTGGAGGATAGGCTTCTAGAACGGAATGGGAACAAGTTTGGTGGTGTTAGCTAGTGTGTGCACCCACAGCTGGCTGTTTCTTTTATTGGCAGCATTGTTTCTTGAGGTGACAGGGATACATCTCTTTCTACAGAGGAAGAAGTGTTGTCACAAAGTGGGGGGTGAAATTATGAGGTGTTTGTTCTTTCTCTGCTGCCTTTAACCATGTAGCACACTGAAGCCTGAGAAAACTGCTGCTTGCTTCACTGCCCTTAACCTCAGCTTCAGGCATCTGTTATGTGGCTGAAGATAATTTCACTGAGGTGTGAGGCTGAGATTGCCTCTTATGAAGGCAACCTAACACAACAGTCTGCATCCTGCAGCAGCAGAAATAATGTAAATTGTTTGTGCTCTGCCTCAGCTAGAAGACAGCTTTCATGGAAATGATACATCGTGCAAGTGTGTCGCTTCATGCAGTATGGCCATATTTACTGGCAGTGAGAAAAAGGAGACAGGGCCTATTGCCTATTCTCTGGGAATGGCTGTAAGGAGTGGAGAGCTGGCCTATTAAGCCCTCTCAATTCTGTTTCATTTGTACTGGCTTCATCTGGTTTAGATGGCCTCACCTTTGTGGTCCACAAAGTTATTTCACAGTGTTGCAGCTGTAACAAGACGTCTTAAATTTAGAAAAAAAATCTACCTATAGGGAAAAGTGAAGCGATTTGCTATTTTTATTTGCTATTTGCTATTTGTAAAATAGGAGCTTGTATGATCTGTTTCATTGAGAGGGATGATCTTTCTGTCATTCTGGATCTTCATGAACCTCCGTGGCCTATCACCTTGTTCAAAAAGAGAATAAATATAAAAAGGTAACATTAATAAGTTCAATCTTTTTTTCCTTCCTGACTTCCTTCAGTTTTCTTTCCTACCTGGCAAAGCTGCCCCCTTTACGATGTGGTATGAAATGTAAATGTTTAATGTTTCCAGGAGCATTAACTGCAGTGTCAGGCTGTACTGTGAATGGAGAGAAAGTACAGCTCACAGGTACTGTTTAACGTGCCTAGCCTTTGCAGTCCAAAGTTTAAGACGTTAATGGCAAACTTAAAGCTTTGATAGTGAAAACTCTGGTTGATTGGCTATTTAGATTTCCCTTTTTTCTTTTTTTCATTTTAGTCCGCTTACACCTCTTACCTCTGTGGGACTGGTGGAGCAATGGTTGTTTACCTGATGCTGTTTGAGTGCCATCTTCTGCCTCACCCGGGTATGGCTGTTCTGAGACTCTGAAAAGAGAGCTCTTAGGCTGTGGGTGTCCAACCAGTTAGCTTGCCTGGGCCTCGTGGAGTGAAGGGGAGTTGTCTTGGGCTGCATATAAAATATGAGGATTGCTCTGAATGTAATGCCTTCTGTCTTATATTTTGGTCCACAAAATCAGAGGCAGATGATGTTATGGTGGTAGAGGTTGAACCTTCCCATCAGTATCCCGTTACATGTTGTTGCTGTGTGATGGCAGCACAAGGGCAGTCTGACACAATGGCGTCTGTTATGGAAGTGCATATGGAGCAAAGGTGTGGAACTGAATGCCTGTACGTGGAGAAAATGGTACCCACTGATATTCATTGATACTTGTTGAGCATTTCAGGAGACCAGACAGTGGATGTCAGCACAGTGAGGCGGTGGGTGGTGCATTTCAGCAGTGGTGACAGTGACATCAGCTGGCAGCACTGTGTGACACAGCTAATGGAGGTGACAATGTTGAAAAATAGTGTTATGTAGCTGAGGATTTGCTCTATTAAATAGTGTCATTGTGCTCTTTGTTGTAGTTTTCATGGAAATAAATGGGAGGCATTACTTTCAGTGCTTATATACTTATGTGTATATAAGCAACAAAACTTTTAACTATATATTTTTTATAAGAACATGGGAAAAAAAATGAGCGCCAGTGAGATACGTGACCTTTTTTTGTGACACAGACACAGCAGTGGGGTTTGGTGGCAGGGATTGCAGTTCTCAGTGAGTTCTGACTCAGGTGTCGGTCAGAGATTTTGGATGAAATGATTCTTGTGCTTCATCCTTGACAGCTGTTCACAGTCGTGCTTACTGCCAGAAAGCGGTGACAGGGTAAGGCGTGACTGTGAAGGGAGGGGTATTTCTCTCTGGTGAGGAGGGGTTATGAAGGTGTGGTAGAGAGCCGCAGTCAGATTTGTGAGGTGAATGTCTGACGTTCCATTTGAGAATTTGCAAGTGATGTATTTATGTCGAAAATATACTCCCAAATTATCAATTTTTGGAAGCCTTGAAACCCGTTCTTAAATCCCTTCATCCAGACGGGAAGCACGCCTATTTGTCGCTGTTCGCAGGGCCGCGCTTAGCCAATGTACCACGCCGCACACACACCATTACGTGAGCTAGCACGAGCCCGCCACTCTGTGAGCACGCTTCCGGCGCGGCGCCATTGCACGCAGCCGCAACGGCAGACACCTTCATCCCCGCCTCTTCCACTTCCACCCGCTGAAGGCTCCCCGCCATGTCTGGTAGGGGCGCCTTTTCTCTCCATTCGCCCATAGCTAACGTGGCTTCCCTGAAGCTGCGCCGCCACGTTTGTTAGTGTCATGCAGGACGGCGCGCGGAATGCCCTTAACCAAGATGGCGGTGGAAGCGCGGGAGGCGGGTCGTGCGGGTGCCGCCATCTTGTGTGAGGGCAGCCCCATAGCGCTGAGCTGGCGTTGCTGGCCGCGCGGGGCCTGCCGGGAGAGAGCGGCGGCTGTGCGGGCGGGTGAGTGCTGCCGGGGCTCGGGTGCGGACCGCGAGCTGCCCCTGACGGAAAGAGCGGGAACATCGGCTGCGAGCTGCTGCACGGCGCCGTTCGCAGACTGGCCTGACGTCGCTGGAGCCTTTTGTCGGCCTTTCGTTCCGTGAGGAGGGCGGGTTGGTATTTGCGGCGTGTCGGAGTTCGGCTTCCCCTCTGCGCTCGGAGCTGCCGCGGCCCCATGGCGACCTACCTGGAGTTCATTCAGCAGAACGAGGAGCGCGACGGCGTGCGCTTCAGCTGGAACGTGTGGCCGTCCAGCAGGCTGGAGGCTACGCGGATGGTCGTGCCTCTGGCCTGCCTGCTGACCCCGCTGCGGGAGCGCCCGGACCTGCCGCCCGTGCAGTACGAGCCCGTGCTCTGCAGCAGGGCCACCTGCAAGGCCGTGCTCAACCCGCTCTGGTATGTAACTCTGAGCTGGGGGCGGGGAGGCTGGGGAGCGTCTGGTTTGTATTTCGGTGTGCCTGACGTCTCTAGGCTGGGAGGATGGGCTGAGGACAATTGGGTGGTGTTCAGCATGACCGGGTGCCTGTGTTTTGGCATCGCTACAGGCTCGGGGCAGAGTGGCTGAAGGGCTGCATGGAAGGAAAGGATGTGGGGATGTGAGCTGACAGCTGGCTGAATACGAGCCGGCGGTGTGCCCAGCTGGCAAAGTGTGTCAGTGGCATCCTGAGTTGTATCGGCAACAGTGCAGCCAGCTGGAGCAGGGAGGGCATCGTCCCTCTGTACTCAGCTCTGGTGAGGCTGTGCATCGAGTGCTGCGTTCAGTGCTGGGCTCCTCACTGCAAGAAAGGCATTGAGACTCTGAAGCGTGTCCAGAGAAGGGCAGTGAAGCTGTCAAGGGTCTGGAGATGAGTCTTACGGGGAGCAGCTGAGGGAACTGAGGTTGTTCAGTCTGAAGAAGAGGCGGCTTGGGGAAGACCTTATTGCATTCTGTAACTACCTGAAAGGAGGGTATGCTGAATTGGAGGTCGGCCTCTTTTCCCAGGTAACGGTGATAGGATGAGAGGGAATGGCCTCAGGTTGCATCAGGGAAAGTTCAGGTTGGATATAGGAAAAAAATTATTCTCAGAAAGAGCAGTGAAGCACTGGCACAGGCTGCCCAGGAAGGTGGTAGGATCACCATCCCTAGAGATGTTCAAGAACAGTGGAGAGGCACTGAGAGAACACTGAACATGGTCATGGGGGAGGTGGGTTGATGGTTGGACACAGTGATTGTAGAGGTCTTTTCCAACCTTAATAATTATGGTTATTCCTAATTCCCCTTTTTTTCTCAGCATGGTGCTTGGTAGCCTCTTTTAGATATAGTGAGTATGTTGAAAGCATTGCATGCCTGCTGAGATATGTTGAATGGCACCCTCTGCTGAGCTGCCAGAGCCTGAGATGAGAGGTGTGTCCTCAGGGAGGCTGTTCAGCTGGAGATAATATGGAAATGGGCAATCCTTTTATCATCCTAGAGAATGTTATGGTGAATGGTGAAACTTAAACAAAGATGCTGTTTATACTGGTGTTATCCTTTGGGCTGTGGTGTTCATTTGATTTTCTGCTTTCTATACATCCCCTTTTTTATAGGCCAGCTCCAGTATGAGCATCAATTTTATCTGGAGTTTTGCTGAGAAAGTAAGAGGAATAATCTTGTCATGAAGTCATGTTACTATCATACTTCCTTAGAGCGTAGCTGTGGGCTGAAAAAAAACCAGAATGACTAGCAAGAGGAAGTAGGAAGAGGTCAAACCCATGAAGGAAGAATAAGGTCAGGCTTCACTGTACTAGCAGTCAATGTAGTATGTCATAATGAGTTGAGGAGAGGAAACTCGTTGGGGCAGAGAACAGCTAATTTGTTCTGTGTTTGTACAGGATGTGAGTGAATGGCTTCTGCTGCTCTATGACTGGAGCACTCGTGTGCTGTAGCTGTACGAACAGTAAGATGACTGAGATAAGCCTCAACGTAGTGAAGGAGTGATTAGATGCAAACCTGCTTACTGCATCCTAAGCTTCGATGGTCTGTTGGTGATCACTCACACTAACAAGCCTGGAAGCAGCAGGACTGCCTCAGCTAATAGGCTTTCTGGCATTGGAACAAAAGTCAGAATCCCTAAAACTATCCATAAAGTTGAAGACTCTGGTTTTCTGATTCTTCCTCATCAGCATAGACAACTGTGAAGCTAGGTTGTGAAATTGTTCCTATACCTATACTAATGCCTCACCTTTCCCTTGCAGCCAAGTTGACTATCGGGCCAAGCTCTGGGCTTGCAATTTCTGTTTTCAGAGAAATCAGGTACGTTGAAGCAGCATTTTCATCTTTTCAGAAAGCATTTTATTGATGACCTTACTGTGCAAAGGATGTTACAGGAAACAGAAATTTCGCCTCTCTAGATTTCATCTTGTAGCCTTTTCTCTTGCTGAACCCAGGCCAGAGTGCTTGCTAATGAGTCTGTTATATATGAAATCTTGCTTATTTTTAGTTGCTTTGCCAGTGACTTTAATAGCACGGAGAACATAGAAAATAGATAAAAAGCCATTTTATCACATGTGCTTCCATTGTGGTTTTTGGTACATGACATTTACTGTTCTTCCTGAGTATGACATTAGATTTGGGTAAACGTTTACCATCAGAAACAGTCACACGGCTCAAACGACAAAACTAAGCAAGTTTTGGCTAATGTGGCTGCTGCTTTAGTCCTGTTCTTAACTTACACTGGGCTGAGTAACTGTCAGTAGTTCTGGCTCTGTTGTGTGTGCTTAGCAAAGCAGCAGCACAGGTCTCTGATGAGTTAACCAGGTTGGTGCAGTTGGTAGTAAATAAAGAATTGAATAAACACATCATAAGACTCTGTACTACAGAGGAGAGCCCTACATTTCTGCCCTGCAGCTTGTCCTAATTTTTGGTCCTGTTTTTCAGTTTCCTCCAGCATACGCAGGCATATCTGAAGTCAACCAACCAGCTGAACTTATGCCTCAGTTTTCAACAATTGAATATATAGTGCAGGTAATGATTCGTAGTTTGTGGTCTCCAGAATTGTATTCTGTGGTATCTTCTGTACATATTCGTTGTACTTAGGATAATAGAAATAAGTAACACTCATGTTAGATGCCTGAGATAGGGCTCATTTTATTCTTTGTCTGGAGTCATTGGGCAGTGTCACCTAGCTTATGTACGAGCCTCATAAATCCATCTCTCTCCATATTAGCGAGGCCCGCAGACGCCATTGATCTTCCTGTATGTTGTTGACACGTGCTTGGAAGAGGAGGACTTGCAGGCACTGAAGGAGTCCCTCCAAATGTCCCTAAGTCTGCTGCCTGCTGACGCTCTAGTGGGGCTTATCACGTTTGGCAGAATGATCCAGGTTCACGAGCTGAGCTGTGAAGGGATTTCTAAGAGCTACGTGTTTAGAGGCACTAAAGACCTGACAGCTAAGCAAATACAGGTATGTCCTGCCATCTGTTAGGCCAGTGGTTTGTTCCTCTTAGCTCTGTTGCCACCACTGCTGGTATTTCAAGCACCAGGCTTTTGGGGAAAGGAGGTTCAGTGCTCTTAATTATTTTTATGCTATTTCACTCTCAACACCTCTCCTGTCTGTTTGCTGCTGCACGTTTTTTGAAAACGTGCTCAAGATAGTTTTTTATATCTCACATAATAGAACCACTGATGTCTTCCTAATGAGAGTGCAGATATTAATTATTTCAGTTTTTAATTTCTTTAATGCTACAGGGTTGCAGGCTTTAGGCTATATTGCTTGAAAGCAAACAATGTCTAGTGTTTGATTTTGAAGTCTCCTCTGCCTCCTTTTTTTTCTTTTCTGTAGGATATGCTTGGTCTTTCAAGGCCAGCTGTCCCCATTCAACAGGGAAGGCCTCTTCAAGCTCCAGAACAGCCTGTTATTTCAAGCAGGTGAGTGCTACATAAACACAACCAGCAGCAGAGCAGGGTGGGTGCTTTGTACCCTTCGGGATCGCACTTCTAAACCTAGCTTTTCCAAGAGGTATACACAAATGGTATTGTCTTGGCAGAGTTATTTCCCTGCATCAAGTGATACAAGTGGGTGAGATTTACTAGAGCAATTTCTTAGCCTTCTCTAGTGTCTTGATTTTGCAGTTACAGGAACATAATTGCCATTCAGACTGGATTTCTCCTTGAAAAGTATAACATAGCTGTCTTTGGAAAGCATGTTGTTCAGGGGTCGAACGTGTTTAGAGCAGGAGCCTTTTTGGTTGAGCACCTAATGGGGCCCTCGTTTATGAGTATCAATCCTTTGAGCCCTTGCTTGAATGAGTCAAAAAAACCCAAAAACCAGACACAAAACGCAACAGTTGGTAGGCGGGCAGTGACCCCTGAACTGTGAAGCCATACTTGCCTCTGTTGGATACAGTTGTTTGTTTTTATTCTCAGCTCCTCTTTTTGCATGGCAGCTCATTTATCTTTTGGTAGACTAAATCAGTACTAAAGTCCTTTTCTGTGCTTTGAGTGATTTTGCCTTCTTGTCAGTTCCTGTTGGTTCCTTTGATCAATTTTGTTACTTTGCACAGGCCTCTTAGCTTGGAAAGTCTGGACATAAAGGAATGTGTTGTGTAATGTTTTGCTTCTGATAACTCTTCCAGTGTAATTAAAGTGTGCTAGGAACAGAGGCACACTTATAGTGGGAAAACATTTCAATTTTTCAGGTTCCTGCAGCCAGTACAGAAGATTGACATGAATTTAACAGATCTCCTTGGAGAACTTCAAAGGGACCCGTGGCCAGTGACCCAGGGAAAGAGGCCTTTACGTTCCACTGGAGTAGCTCTTTCGATTGCTGTTGGCTTGCTAGAGGTACTTTTATTGCACCTGCTTGTTAGGGATGAGCTGGGCAAAGCAAGCACCCGGCAGTACGTGCTGAGACGTATAGAGGTTTCAGTGCAGATTGGTTTGCAGCCCAGTCACATTGAGGTGCAGTGGTGCATTTTGTCTTTGCTTGATGTCCGGCATGAGTTCCAGCTGATGTTGAGTGGGCTAGGAATTTGTATTTAACTGTAAACCGTGTAAAAGGTGCAGGTGTTCAAAGGCTTCTGATCCTTACGTATATTGCCATGTGAAGGTGATTGTATGTACTCTGATTCTTTTTGTTTGTTTGTTTTTGCATGGGTCATCTAAGGTAGAAGTAAAAAGAATACTACTTCCTGTAGTGAAGATTGTTGTAGTTTGAGTCTAAACTAGAGGGTGCCTGTCAGGAAACGTGTTGCTGTTTTTCAGGTCTGCCTGCAACAGAGACAGGTCCCTGATGGTATTGCAGAATAATGTACAGATTCCTCTCTGAAGAAAACGTTGTTCTTTTAAACATCTTTTCCCTGAGTTCTAATATAAGACTGTATTTTTATTTCAGGGCACATTTCCAAACACGGGAGCGAGAATAATGCTATTCACAGGCGGTCCACCGACGCAAGGACCAGGCATGGTGGTGGGAGATGAATTGAAAACACCCATTCGTTCTTGGCATGACATAGAGAAGGACAACGCGAGGTTCATGAAGAAGGCCACCAAGGTAGGTGCTGGTGTCAGCTGGAGGAGAAAGCACACAGAACAGCTTAGGTTTGTTGTGTGGCAAGGGGTGTTTAAACAAATGTGAGTGTTGGAATTCAGAGTGGAGATTGGAGGAAGGAGATGACTGAGCCTATGTAGGCAGCTTCCAGTATTCTTGTGTAAGTAACGGAAGTTGTATTTTCTTGGTATAGAATCAGTCTGTCCAGATATTTGCATAGCTGCTCATAAAATGCATGAGCCTTTCCGTGTGTTAAGCTGTGAGAATGGTCAAAGGACGGATGAGAGTCTTACTGTTAGTTGCTTCTCCAAGTATGGTCTTGTGCCTTCTCAGAGAGGGAAGTATTTCAGTGCTCTTGTCCAGCTGATGGTGAGTAGAGGTCCTTTTAGCTCATTCAGGAAAGGGGAAAAAAACAAGCCTGTACTCCAAGAACTGGTGATTTCCAGAAAGGCTCCTTTTTCTCTTGACATGTGAAAGAATAGTTAAAATATTAGGTATGAAATGTGCCTGTCAGCATAGAGGAAGTACTGTGATACCTGTCCTCTTAACTATCACCTAGAAATCTTTAGGTTTCTATCACAAAGAGCCTGTGCTTGTATGATGGTAGCAATTCGTGTCTTCTCTACACTTGCAACTTGCAGCTCAAGTTTATCCACAGGCAAATATCCTAGGAGGAAGAATTCTGTTCAAGCAGACAGCTCCTTACTTTTGCAGCACTGGCAACGGCTTCATTTGTGCTTTGTGCATCAGTGTGTTGACTTCAGCTGGAGAGCAGAGGAAAAATTGCCTGATGCAGCATCCTAAATATTCCTAAATATTGTGTGTGTTGTCTGTTCTCCCCAGCACTATGAGACTCTGGCCAATCGCACTGCCACCAATGGTCACTGCATCGATATCTACGCCTGTGCCCTGGATCAGACTGGACTGCTAGAGATGAAATGCTGTGCAAACCTCACTGGGTATGTCTGTAATAGGAAACACAAAGGTGGTACTTTTACTTTTTTTTGGAGGGGGAGAACAGTTTGAAAAGCAGTTAGTTTTCTATGAGTGCAAAAGGGTGAGATTTTTGTCATTTATTCTAAATTGTGGTTTGAATTTGCCAGGAGTTACATGGCAAACCTCCCCTGATCCCAGTCCGCATTTCTGAAGCCTCAAAGTAGCGTAAGAGTTAACACTGCTGGTAGAAAACTCAGTGTCCTGCTTTGGAGAAAGGTATTCTAAAGCATGATGCAACATGTCTTGCAAATGCCTTCTGTCACCTTCAAATGCCCTGGGAGGTAGCAAGTACCCTTTGCAGAGCTGGTGGGACATAGATCCCCTCTGTTGTGGTGTGTGTGTGACTGAAGTGCCATCAGAGTAGCAGAGCTTCAGGCATGGTGGGTAGTTGCTTTCATTGTATTGGCCAGATTTTCTCATGCTTAACAGCTCATTTTGCTTTCTTAGGGGAAGTAGGCTGAGCAAGGCTCTCTTTTGGGTACGGGTGTTTGTAACAAGTGGAAACAGGAGCATTTTTAAGGCAGCTGAAAGGATGACAAGAAATATAGTTGAGAAAGCAAGCTGGCAGAAATGGAGCACTAACTTGTCTGGCTTTGGAGGCATCCATGAATCTACATTCCCTAATGCGAATTCTACCTATGCAAAGGCATGCTTCTAAACAGTTTCTGCCTGTATTTGCATGCATGAGAGTTGGAGGGGTTGTGTCCTTGTGATATGCTTCTAGTTCTCAGTTGTTTCAGTTACCTTGTGTGGGTTTTTTTTTCCTTCTCAGAGGACACATGGTGATGGGAGATTCCTTCAACACTTCTCTCTTCAAGCAAACCTTCCAGCGGGTATTCAACAAAGGGCTTGGTGGGGAATTTCGGATGGCTTTTGGTGCAAATTTGGAAGTGAAGGTGAGAGATAAGTTTAATCAGCTGACATTAACTTAGAAGTGCGAGTGCTGCTGATTGGAAAAGTTTTCTAGGTATCTGTGTAGAAAATTCTACGTCTTTGAGGTCAGCTGTATTGCCTTCTTTGGAAAAAGCATCATACTGGAATGAGTGAAGGCATTTTTTATTTAAAAGTTTATTAGATTTGTGGTTTAAAAAAACCAACAACTGAGCTTACGTTCACCAACTAAGGCAGTAGGTTACCTTGATAATGTACTCAAGGATGCTTTCCTTGGCAGCCTTGTATAATCACTTTCTGATCAAAGCTGAGCATCTGATTTAGTCTGTGTGTTCTATTTGACTAACCTGATATATTTTTTTAAGAACTGTTTTTGTCTTGTTCTAGACATCCAGAGAGCTGAAAATTGCAGGTGCTATTGGACCATGTGTATCCCTGAATGTGAAAGGACCGTGTGTTTCTGAAAATGTACGTTTTCAACATGAAAAGAACAACTATGTTAAGTAGGAAACAAAGGGTGCAAAATTTCTGTCGAAACCTAGAGCTTAGATAGAATGTGAGAAAAGGCAGAGCTTGTTGGACTGAACTCTTGTCCCATAAAGCTGCCTTCTAACTGTATTACCCTCAGTAACTTAATCCACATCCTGAAGATAAGAAATGCAGAAAGGTTGCCTCGTGTATCTGATCAGAATTTAACATGAGCTGACCTTAACTACTGCCAAGTACTAAAACGGTGTTTTCTTTTCAATTCTATGCAGGAACTTGGAATTGGAGGAACATCTCAGTGGAAAATTTGTGGTCTGGATCCCTGCACAACTCTGGCCATTTACTTTGAAGTGGTAAATCAGGTCAGCCCTGGCTTTTCTTTTTTTGTCTTCATTTTTATATACCAACTGTTTGTAACAGGACCAGGAAGTCCAAGGCATCTCTTGTGTTGTGAATGGGTGGTTGCAGGGTAGGTAAATGTTTTGTGCCAAAGTAATATTCATAGGGGTTGTTTGCATATTTGTAAGCTGATAAGTGTCAGGTATGGAATTAAAAATGCACCCAGAACCACTTGGCTTTGAAGGCTCTTATAAAACACAACATTAACAGATGCATGTCTCCTCCATGGTCTGTTTCAAGCTTGAACTTAACTCTGTTCAGCAGATGCCCTGGATTTGTCTCTGTTGTATACAAAGCCAGCCTATGTTGAAGGCTTTCCTTGTTTAATTTGCAGCACAATGCACCAATACCTCAGGGAGGCCGAGGGGCAGTACAGTTTGTCACCCAGTATCAACACTCCAGCACACAGAAACGCATTCGTGTCACCACCATAGCCAGAAAGTAAGTACCTCGTGCTGGTTCTTTGGCAGAATTGCAGAAATGGAAGCCACTGTCTGTGCTGGTATTGTTCTAGCTTTTTATTACATTCATTGGCCACAGAATATTTGGCATGGGGGAAAAATGTGGATTGGGTTTTGCTGATGAAAGATTTTGCACTAACCCTTTACTAATCCTTTAGCTGGGCAGATGCACAAAGTCAGCTCCAGCACATAGAAGCTGCATTTGACCAGGAAGCAGCTGCTGTGCTGATGGCACGGCTGGGAGTGTACAGAGCTGAGTCTGAGGAGGGGCCTGATGTGCTGCGATGGCTGGACAGACAGCTGATCAGACTGGTAAGACTGATGGAGTGCACTCAGCAGCAATCTTATTTTCAGTTAAAACGATCTCTTGGGATGGAAAACACCATTCTTTTTCCAGTCTGACTCACTTCATTTGTGCTCTGATTGTGGTCTCATAGTATGTGATAACTATGAAGGCTGTATGATCAGTGAGTTGGTGATGGGATAGGTAAGCATCCCATCATGGTGAAAGAGTTAAACCTTGAGATTGAAGACGTAATAGTAAAATGATCACACAGGTGGGAAGGGACCTCTGCAGTTCTCAACACTGTGTAAGCAGGGCTAGTTTCATGTTACAGTTAGATGCTGTGGGTCTTGTTCAGGTGAGTTTGTATGATCTCCATGGATTGAATTTGTCTTGTTTCGTGGTAGCCTGTTCCAACATTTGATCACAGTTACTGTGATTTACTGTTATTATTTTTTATATCCTGTCAGAATTCCAGTTTCTTCAGTTATGTGCTAGGTAACTATACAGAGCATAACATCACACACAGGCACATCAGATGCTGGGAAAAAAAGAGACAATATCAAATAAAAATTTGAGCACTGAAACACATGTGGGTGTACTGCATCCTGAAATGCTTGTGGACTCATTTGTGGTTGATACAAATTTTTTAAGTTTATAAGGAAATTGATAAAGAGCACCCTGCTAGTCATGGAACTGGGCCAAAACAGCCCATTGACAAACTACTCGCTTTCAGTGAAGCATCTAGTGCAATTTTAGTCTGCTGTTGCTTTAGAAGGAAGTAGGAGATGCTGCAGGAGTGTTTCATATGTACAAAGAACATTAGGTATGATGATGATCCAGTGGAAAAAAAATGGGTGGTACTAGAAGCACTATTTATTTCATTCTTAAGTAACTTTGAATCTGGATTCAAAATAGAAGATTTTTATATATCTAAAATGATAAGATGATTGAATTGGCATTGTCACTCCAGTAAGATACAGAAGCTACTGACCTGTTAAGTTCTTGCTGCCACGTTCATCATTTGTTTGCTCTGTTTAAAAACATGTAAAACTCATTCAAAAAAAAATGTTGATTCTCAGGGAGATATAAACGAAGTTTGCATTTTGCTTCCAACAGTGTCAGAAATTTGGACAATACAACAAAGATGATCCCAACTCCTTCAGATTGTCGGAATCATTTTCTTTGTATCCCCAGGTAAGAACCTTCTTGCAACTATGGGAAAAGTTTGCAAGGGTGAATGATGAAAGCACCTTGTACCATCAATGGGTGAGGGAAGGAGCAGATGCTTTTTGAATTTGTCGGGTGGTCCTGTAGTTCAGTGTTAGAAAAAGCTGGTAAGTTAAGAACTCTGAGGAGTTCACTGGGAGACTTTTTTCAGGGGATTTGCTGTTTACAAGGTGCAGAAGCTTTGGCAACTCACTGACACTTCTCACTCATCTTTCTGATGCAGTTCATGTTCCATTTGCGACGCTCCCCATTCCTGCAGGTCTTCAATAACAGTCCAGATGAATCTTCTTATTACCGTCACCACTTTGCTAGGCAAGATCTCACTCAGTCTCTCATTATGATTCAGCCCATCCTTTATGCTTATTCTTTCCACGGACCTCCTGAGGTAAGTCTGTGTTTAACAGAGAGGTGAATCAATGCAAAGTAAAGAGCATGCAGTTGGGATAACAGTGGTTCATTAAAAAGCTTCTTACTTTGTTTTTCTTAGTTAAAGTAATTACTAAGGGGTGAGATGGGGCACTGTGCAATACAAGTTATATTTTCAGTAGACTTACTCTTAGCATGTAAATTATACTTTCAGCTGGGCTTTTAAAAAACACATACATGCCTAAAAAAAGAAGCCCCGAAAAGCTAATGCCATATCTGGCATCTTGGCAGTTCAGCAGTGCTGATGCTTCTCTGCCAGTGGCTGCCATCTCCACCACATAAGTCAGCAAGCCTCTGCCCTTCCAGGTCATTAGCACAGAATTGTAGGGGTTGGAAGGGGCCTCTAGAGATTGAATGAGTCCAGCTGCTTGTTTTCAGCTGTTTAAGCAGCAACATTCAACTGCTATACAGACTTTATTAATTTATGTTGACTGCAGTGCATCTGGCAGGAAAGAAATGCAGAAGCTGCTGCAGAAACACTTTAAAACCTTTCTGGCAGCATTTGCCTGAGTGTATGTATTAAATTTCTTATTTTTCTTGGCTTCTCAAGATCATTAAACTTGAAAGCCATAGAAATTGCATTCTCACATACTGCATTTCATACAGTAGCTGAGGACTTGCTGCTTGATTCAGTGATGCCATAGGAGGCTGGTGGTTCTCTGAAACATTCACATGAACAGCAGCTCTTGACAGACACAACACTCCTCCATACAACTGAACTGTAAGGTTAATACAATTTTGGGGTTTTAATGATTGACCTTTATTTTCCATAGCCAGTGCTTTTGGACAGCAGCAGCATTCTTCCTGACAGAATCCTACTGATGGACACTTTCTTCCAGATAGTTATCTACCTTGGTGAGGTACGGTGAGATGTATTCTCGGAACTCTCCTCCTCCTTCCATGCATGCAAATAATGCTACTGTTAGTATGCAATGAACCACTTGCAAAGCTTACCCTTGGCATAATGGCATCGTATGCCTGTTCCCATGCACTTGTAATGGATAAAAATCCTACTGGAGTAGTTAAGCATATGTTCTGCTGTGAGAAATAGCCATCGAGTTAGCTTGCGAACTGAAAAAGTTAAAAGAAACTAAAAGCTTCTGCTTTTTGAGTACTGGCTGTTCTTTACAGCTGTGCCTGTGCATAGATATTTAGATCAATATCTAAAGCCTTGGCTTTCCAGTGCCTTTTCAGTATGAAGACCTGTAGATCTGTGTTGGAATCCAACCGGTTTTGTAAGGGAGTGCTAAGCTACTGCAGCTGGATGATAGAAACATCTCACACTCTAAAGAAGTTATGATGTAGAGGAGGGTGAAGCTGACTTGCTTCTCTCTTCCTTCTCTAGAAATATCCCTTTTATTTGATGCTTTTTTTCCCTCTCAGATTCTTTTCAGTCTTGTACCTTTCATGCAATTTTTGTCTACTTAAACTTGACATCAAATTGAAATTTAAATAAGCTCAGCTTGGCTTATGGTCTCACCTTCCTGTTAGTGATTTTTTTGGAGAGGTGTTTCAACTCTTCTCTTTATTTTTGAACTGAGCTACTGACTTTTTATGACTGTTACTAGAATGCTTAAAGTTTGGCACGGTGGCCTGCAGTGATGCACAGTCCACACAAGCAGGAGTTGTATGGTGGAGCCAGTAGTGGCAATAAGCCTTCACAGGTTACTTTAAGCAGTGCCTGCCTACCTCGACTGTTGGGAAGCAAGAGACTCAACTGGGTAAAATTAGACAATGGAAATGTTAAATTATGAACTGCAAGTGAAACTATAAACTATGTGTGGACCTTGAAAAGAATGTAAGGCAAAGACTGTTCCACTTAAGACCAAATCAGGTTTGGAATGTCACTGATTTATAAATGCTTCACACTTTTAAGTTGAGGTAGGCAGAAGCATAATGGCTTGAAGTTCACTTTGAACAATCGGCTCTTGCACTGCACAGCCTGCTACCCAATTCTGTGTTTAGTGCATGTTCTTAAGGAACAGACAGAAACTAAACAATACTATTGACAGAATAGTGAAAGCATGTGTTTGTCCTGCTCTGTGTAAGCAGAAATGCACGTAATGTTCTGCTACCTTAAGATGTGCTGGTTAAGGGTTGGCCTGTCGGCATCTCTGCAATCTCTTCATTTCCTCCCTGTCCCTGTGAACAGACTATTGCACAGTGGCAGAAAGCTGGTTACCAAGACATGCCTGAATATGAAAACTTCAAGCACCTACTGCAGGCTCCATTGGATGATGCCCAGGAAATCTTGCAGACCAGATTCCCAATGCCACGTTATGTCCACACTGAACATGGGGGCAGCCAGGTAAGGAGGTTTATCCAAAAACCTTCTCTGTTGAACAATGCAAATATCTGTCTTTTCTTGCTTTACTAAGTAAACAGTTCTGTAAGTTAAACACAGTGGTTATTTAGCTCTTAAAAGTAAGAGTTTGTATATTTTCCCATGAGTTCTTAATGCATCCATGTCTTTTAATAGGCCAATTGCTCCTTGCATGTGTTTTTGACTTCTGAGGATGGAAAGAGAAGGGGAAAAAAAAAGCCAGTGTAAATATCTTTATATTCCTTGAGCAGTGGGAAGTGAATAGTTTTGCTATGTACCTAAACTTCCTGAGACAGGGAGTGCAGTTAGTTGGCTAGGGCAGTCAGTCATGCTGAATGTTTGAACATCTGCTCTTTTATTCTTAGATGCCAGGTGAGAATATAAAATGGTCTCTATTTTGACTTCTTGGAATTACAGTAGTTCAGTGTGTATTGCTAGCCTGTTGTTTGTAGAAGTGGAGAGGCAGGAATTGGTGCTCCAAAACTAAACTATTAATGTAAGCATGTTGCCCTGATTCTCAACTAACCACTTTTCTGATGTAAGCAAAAGGGTTTACTATAAAAGTGAAATTGCTGATGCCATGTCCATGTTACATGAAACTAGAGCTGCCCTGCTTGATGAGCATTGCTTGCTATAGGAGAGCACTTGGAGAAACTTAAAAGTGATGTTACCGTTTTGAAATGGAGGGCAGAGAGTTTTCTCATAGAAATCTGCCACCACCAACTAACTCAAGAATAACAGCAGGGAAAGAAATGCATTCAGATTCTTTCTCTCTTTTTGAGATAACAGCAGCATACCCTGACTTTTTAAACTTGATTCCTCCTTTTCCTCCTCCCAGGTTTCTTCCTCAATCTCATTCTGCTATGTGATGTTCCTTAACGTTATTTCTTTCAAAACAATTTGTAAAACTGTAACACGTTGTAGTAGTATTGTTGTCTGTTCCATGGGAGTCACAGCTGTGTGGTGAAATCTTTCCCAAACATTTATCTTTTCAGAGTATTGCCATTAAAAGTAAGCAGATTCTTGTTTTTAAGTCCGGTGAAATTGTTTATGAAACAAAGCTCTTTCTGAACTCAGAAACTTGTTTCAGTTAAAGAAGTACTTTCCTTGTAAAAGCAGGCGAACATCACCAGTCATGTGTCTGAGGAGATAAGTGTTAGGGGAGCTGACATTTCTATCATACTGCAAAAATGTTTTTCCCACATTTTGTCTTTATAGGCTCGATTCCTGTTGTCTAAAGTGAACCCTTCTCAGACCCACAATAACCTCTATGCATGGGGACAGGTAAGCAATGGAAGAGCCACTTGTGTTTGGGAATACAGTAAAACGTACATTCAAATAATTGTCTGCATAGTTGGTGTCCCATTTTATCTCATAGTATTTGGCCTCAGACTGGGAGTGTGTTGTATTTGTCCTGCTCTTCTTATCTAACAGCTTTTTGCAAGACATACGTGGTTGGCTTTGAAAAACTTTGAAATAGTGCTTTGGAATACAAGGAAACAAGATTATTTCTGTGCACCAGTTGATCTGTGATGAAATTACTGTCTGACATTTTAATAGCTGTAGCATTTTAAAAGACAACCGAGTGGATAGGTTTGTCTCTTAGGCAGCTCAGATTCTTACTCATCCTGATAATTGAAGTCCATGGTTATCAAGATAAAGAGTTCTGGTGGTGAGCACTAGATTACACTATGTTCAGAATAAAGTTTTCAAGCCTGGACATGATGAAACGTCTGCTTCTGTTCTTGGATGGAATTTCCCCCAGGTTTTCAGCATATTGTGATATGGTTTTTTTTTGCTTTTCTAAAGGGTGGCTGTCCTAGTAGAGGTGCTGCAGAACAGCCCAGTACCTCAGCAGCCTGATGACAGCAGGAGATCAGTGGTTTCCAGCAGCGGTGCTTTTGTCTCTGTCATCTTTCCTGTAACCAAGTTACCTAAGTAGTGCACAGGTAGACAAGGAGAATGTATTTTGTGGCTGCTACTGATGGAAGCAGCTGATAGAGAAACTCTTACAGGTTTTAGATGAGCTGATGTGGAAATTATATTTGCCTTCTGCTGCAAATCTGATGTAAAAGCTCTTAGTTCACAGTTAGTGTATTTAGTTTTCTGTAACTAGCATACAGATACGTATAGATGTGATTTTTCTATCAATAATAGTTTTTAATGTCTTCTGCCTTGTTTCCATCAAGCCTTGAGCAGAAACCTTCCTAATGCGTTAGAAGGAAGAGACTTTCCTGCAACAGTGCAGGTGGCACTCAAAGATATTGTCAACTACCAGACTACCCTTCAAGGGGAAAAGGTTTAGCAGGCAATTAGCTTAGTGCTGACATTTGCTTTGCTTGCTTAGTCCCCAGGGCCAGCAGCGCTATTTCACGCTCATTATTTATTTCCTTAATTTCTTTGCAGGAATCAGGAGCCCCAATCCTGACGGATGATGTCAGTCTGCAGGTGTTCATGGACCACCTCAAGAAGCTGGCAGTCTCCAGTGCAGCGTGACTTGATTGAACCCAGCAGCACAAACAGCAGTGACATACATCACGGTGACGATGGAAGCGGAACGATTTATTTACATTTCCTTTTAGACTAAGGTTTTTAAGTATTAAATGAAATAAATATGTGGGGAGAGCTTAGTACTTTGCCCTTCTAGATATTAATTTATTTGTACTCCTTTTTACCTCTATTGTTTATGCTATTTTCTCATACTGTATCGGGAGCCAAAGTATGTTTTATCCGGTGTAGATCTTTGCAGCCTTAGCTTAATATGTAATGATCTGTGGTCTGAAGTGGTGGCTTTAGGCAACCAGGGGCTGGATTAATGGAAAATAAAACTGGATAAGAAAAGCATTAATACTGAGTGCTGACCCCCATTGAGCTGTATGTGCGTTTTTGAAAACACACCACCAGGAGAGGTACCAACTGCTACAAATAATGCCACTCGCTGCTCTCTGACACATGGTTTCAGTCGCGGATCTGAAGTTTCACGTGGAAACAAAGAGGGACGTGAAGAAAATACAGTGCGGAACACTTCTGAAGCAGAGCAGCAGGGCTGGAGGTCGGCGTGCAGCACCGTGCCGGCGGGCAGCTTCTGGTTCCCGGTAAGGCCCAGGCCTCCGCGCGCCGCCATCTTCCGCTCCCGCCCCTCAGCTTTAGCGCGTGCGCAGGTGCGCGCGCACACCACCGTCATCTTTCGGCCCTTCCCCTTCCCCCCCAGCCAGGGTGCATGCGCGTAGCGGCTGCCCCGCGCACGGGAGTTACTGGGGGCGATGCGGGCGGCGCTGTGGAACATGCGCTCGGCGCTGCTGTACTCGATAGGCGGCTGGACCGTGCTGGGGGGCGTGCTGCACTACAGCTACAGCAGCGGCGGCGGGCACGGTACGGGGCCGGTGCGGCCCTCTGAGCCCGAGCCCGGCGCCTCAAATCGCCACCGCGGGGCGGGGCTGGGGCGGGAGGGGAGAGCTGGGCTGAGGGGCCGGCAGGGGGCGGGGCCTGGCTGAAGTGGGCGGGCGCGCTGGGCGGAGAAGATGGCGGGGAGTCTGATCGTGTCTGTGGCTGCTGCGTTGGCCCAAGGAAAGGATGGCGCGTTTTAATGCGAAGTTGTTTCGTTTCGTTTCGTTTTCTTTCCCCGTTCGTTAGAAGATGAAAGTGATGATAAGGCGAACGAAGAGCACTCCAGAGATGTGGTGATTGCAAGTAAACCCATGGGGTTAAACGTCACCACAGTAATGACGTACCACAAGGAATTGCCTCCTCTCACGCGGCTGCTCCGGCGTATGACAGCGTATTTTACTCCCAGCAGTAGTCCTCCCCCCTCTGAGAACTGAGCTGGCAGCGACGCGGAACGAGGAGTGTTGTGCTGTGCAGGAGAGCCTGAGGATGTGGTCTAGTCATCTGGCACCATGCTGTCGGCTGTCGGTCTGTCACATTGTTGAAACAAAACAATAGATCCCTGTCCGAAATTCCTTTGCAAAACTCGCAGGCTTTCTTGCCTCTTCACATCAGTGCTGTTCTTTGCACATGTACTCAAATTATTAAATGTAAACTAGGTTCTGTGGAGTCTTGTGAGATGGTGGTGAGCTGGAGTGCTGCTCAGGGGGCGGCCAGGTGCCCTTCACTTTGTGAAGGTTTCCCAGCATAGGGGCTGCTGTGCATGAGCTGCTCTCTCTACCCATTGGGTCCAAAACAAAACATTAAAGAATTATTAAGTGGCAAGGAATGCAGTTTAATCTTTGAGGTGTAAGAGTTGTTGTCATCCTTCAAAAAGAAGCAGACAGGGTGTACAGCTTTGTCCCCTGATGCATGGCTACTATCCTTATACCCCCTTCCCCTCAGTTTGCTAAATCTCCTTTCTGTAGCTGCTCTTAGAGCTGCTGTCGCTTTGTAAGATTGTAATACATGCTGCCTCCCCTTCTAGGGTGCCGTCTCCCTGCTGTGACTGTAGCCTTCCTTTCTATACGGTTTCCCCCAGTCTTTGTGGACATACTTTCTTTTCAGGGGCTTCTCCCAGTCCCTGCAGGCGCTGCCTCCCTTCAGAAGGAAGCTGCCAGTTTCCATGGGTACCTCTGGACGCCTCATTCCTGTGGAAGGGAATGGTATGGATGCGCTGGTACCTCCAGTTGTTTTTTCTATAGGCACTGCTGAAAAAATCATTAAAAAAAAAATTGAAAGGCTCCACCTTCAGAGGAAAGGAGCCCCTCTGCACCATTCTGTACGAATTCGGTCTGTACGCAGCCCCGTTTCCATAGAGGCTGCCTCTCTACAGGCACCGCCTGTACCGGCGAAGGCCCGCCGCTCCAGCTCTGCGGCGGTACCTCCCATCCGCCAGGGGGCGCTGCGCTGCGCTGGCCAGCAGGGGGCGGCCGCCGTCGCCTAGCGCCGCCACCTCCTCGCGCCGGGCCCGCGCCGCGCCGCCATGAAGGCCATCGTCCAGCGGGTGGCCCAGGCCAGTGTCACAGGTCAGTGCGCGGCACCGGGAGGGACACCGGAGCCGGAGGGGCGGGGGGAGAGGAGGCGGGGG